TTTGCTGTGAACAAAGAATTAGATTTGTTTTTTTTTTTTCAGTTTTTTTCATTTTGATATTAAGGTGTTCAGATTTGCAGCTCCATAATTTTTTTTGTTTTGTTTTTGTTTTGTTTAACTCCAGTAATTGCATTTCATATATGGTGATATCAATAATAAAGGAAGAAAAATTCAGATCTGTTGCATCAGCACTTTTTTTTTTTATTGAAAGCTAATGTCACTGTGCTAGTTTTGAATTCCTGAAATCCCCATAGAAAAGCTTCCCGTATATTTAAAACTGCTGTTTTCAAATAGTAAATATCAGTCACTAAATTATTTTCTTGATGCGATTTCTGTAGGTTTGGAAAATAAATTAATGTTTCTCTTTCAAAATCTGAGACAAAAAGAGGTAATTTGTTTTGAAGAAGAAAAAGTCAGAAGACATCATTTCATTGTTTTGAAATGAAATGATGTCTTCTGACTTTTTCTTCTTCTTTTTCTTTACTACTTCTGTCTGAAAATTTTTATTTCCTTTACAGTGTAGTTTGCAATTAAGGTTAAGTAAATGAGACGTATGTATCTGTGTATCGTGTGCTATGAAATATAATTTATTTTAAAATTCATTTATCAGTTTAGTCAGCACCCTTCTCAAGGAAAAATGCTTTAATTTCTAATAATAAGAAAGCAAAACATTTTGAGATGTTTCTGATTAAAGCCAATGTACTTTATTTGGCAGAAGATCTGTGTATTCACTCTCCATTCCTACTAAAATTTCTTTAAACTAGCAATGATAAAGAATCTTAGCTACAGTTGTATTAACAATCTTGATCACCAATTCCATAACATTTCAGCTTTCTTCTGGAAATGGCTGTGCACTAAGTGCTTCTTGATGACTAATGCAATGATAAACAAGGATCTAGAGGTTAATTTTTTCCTTCAAAATAGAAACAAAATCTTTTCTTACTCAGTCATACTTTTTGTCCCATCTGTTGAAACTGAAACAGTTTTATAGAGTGGAATACGATGTTCCTCCATGCTTTCAATGACTGCATTTGCAATATCCTCGCCATGTGTTTGACCTTTCAGTGGCAATAAACCCTAAAAGGTTTTCTTTAACTTCTTTTAAATGAAATAAATTAATTAAAAAGGGAAACTTATGCTGTGTCACAAGATACATCAACAGCTATTGATAAAGCTGAAATGGGTTTAAGATTTTCAATTTGCTGATTGGTTATATTTGAAGACATTTTAACTGTTCTTGTTCAGCATTTAGTGATATCCCCTAAATTTTTTAAGAATAGGTCTTTGGATGCACTTATAAAACAACATGTAATGTATTCACCATCTGTGTGTGAATTATCTCTTTTAGTAATTTGACTAACAATAAAGCTTGAAATATTAACATTTGTAGAATATTGCACCCAATAATTAAATACAGAACTTGATTTTGAATCACTCTTCTGAAACTCTTGAGCTGCTTTGTCCTTCCATCACGGATGGGATATTTACTGTCAATGATGTATATTTAGTTGTAAAGTATATCTCAAAATATGATTTCTTGTATGTCAGTTTTTCTTGACAAATAAGATAGGTCAGAAACAGGACTTAAAAGAGAAGGGCTAGCTCATAGAGCTTTTTCTCCTGAAGCAGGCAGTGGGGAGTGATGACGTAGCCATGATGATACTGAGTGCGGAGATGCAATTGACAGCATAAGAAATTAGCGTTTTAAATCTGAAGAACTAGCATTTAAAATGAGCTGTGTGTGAAAGATAGCTATAATTTAGAAGAGACAATGTTACTGCAGTATGCATTTTACACTGAATATTTAATAGTACTTACTCAATTTTAAAATAACAGATAAAATGTGCTACTCTTAGCATAAAGTTCCTGTTTTTTAATTTGCAGGGATTTTTTTTTTCTATAAATGCCTGTTTATTTCTAATCATTTCTTCATCTGCATGTTAACTAAGAGAACTGTATTACTGCTTCTAAGATAACTATAATAACAGCTATTTAAAATTAATCAAAAAACAACCTTAAATTGGCATGATTTTCAAAATTTCTGCTAATCTAAGTTTGAGTTTCAGCCTAATTGTAACTTTTACCCTAAAAGGTTTTCTTTAACTTCTTTTAAATGAAAAATTAATAATAATAACTTTATTTTTCTCCCGATTCATTGTAATAACATATATTTTTTTAAATAATTTTGTAACTTAGGCTTAAATCAATATTAAATTTAAATAAATGCATGTAAGATTGTTATCTTAATTTAGACAAAAAAACTTTACTCACAGTCCTAAAAAAATATTTAAGTTTTCAAAAATGGGGGTTAAGGAGGCAGGTTTTCTTATCCCAATTACTTTGATCTTATACTATTATATTTTATCTAGAATGCTAAGCTAGCACAAAATCGAATCGATAATAACACAGTGTACAATAAAAGTAATTTTAACAATAACTTAACAAAATTAGTTCTCATTTGAAATATGCTTTACGCTATTAACTTCTAAAATGTCATCTAGAAATAGTTCAAATCAAAACATATTATATATGCTTACTTGTACAGTCACAATGCAACTACAAGTTGTTGAAATATTATTTATTGGCTACTACATTCGAAGCAATCCACTTTTTTGTCTTTTCGGTTGCTTTTCTTTGGGAAAAACCTATGCATTTCTATTTAAGAAACGTATTCTACAGAGCTCTTGTGACAATGCAACGTGAAATATCTTTACTAGTCCACCTGACTTTTTCCTTCTTTTCTATCAATGCGTTAATCTGCGTCTTTGTAAAAATATGCTTTAGACATTTTTCCAAATTCTCCGATCTGTGCTTTTTTCCCTAAATTTCACTGTTTGGGATTTTAATTTCTGAATTTCCGATACAAATTTCTTTTTAAATGTCGTCCACCTTCTTTTTCGCTGAGCAAACATTCTAAAATTTTTCTTTTCTCTATTCTTCAATATTTTATTACAATTTTCTAAGGATGTTATTTTGTTCTTCAACTCATCAATACATTCTTGTTTATCTTTACACTTAGGTCATTCAGGAATATTGTCACTTAGGGCATTGTCACTTGTGAGTTTTATTTCAAAATCACTCACATTTGATTTATTATTGTCAGCTTCAATTTTGTTCTCGGCCTTGAAATAAATTTTCTTTGGACTTAATTCGTGTAGTCTTTCAAAAGCGCTCTGCATTAGTTTTCTTTTCAAATGTCTCTGATTTCTTCGTGTTATTTCGTTTACTGCATACAATAAATTTACTTTCGGCACAGTATTGCACTTCAACAGTTTCTTTTGCTGCAATCCAAGCAAGCCATTTTTCATGTCATCTTCATAATCACTGCACAGAAAATGTTCGCCGCAAATTTTTGTGTTTTTCACATTAATAGAATCCTGTCTTTGACATTTATGTATCCATTCTTTTGACAAAAGCAAATTGTTTTTTGGGAAAGCATGAAATACAATATCTCTTCCTTTCGTGTTTCTATAAGTGTTACGGCAGGTTGCTACAGCACAAGAAGCCATAGGATATTAAAGGATACTTTAAATATAGAATTTAAAAGGAAAACTGACTAAAACTATATATATATACCCAAATTATTAAATATTTGCATTATTAGAAAACAAATATGTATGATTAAAATTAATTTGGGATATGCGACCTCCAGAAAATCGTCTCACAACTGAATGAAACTACAGTTTTAAACGCACAAAATCAGAGCAGGTGCAACCCCGACACGTCAGATTACTTCCAGTTAACCCCCTCCATGAGGCTCGCATCAGCGAGGAGTCGCACAAAGGAATGACCTAGTCCTTCTATTTATCCCTGGGTCAGAAAGCCATTTGAGTTTTGTGATATTTTGTATTAAAATTATAGTTTCCTTTTTTTTTTATTGATAATAATTATATGGTTTCTCTAAATATCTCAATACCCTAAAAGTATAGCTTATATGCTTTTCTATGTTTTTATATATACCTCTGTATATCTATGCGTATACCTAGGTATACCTATGTATTACATATTCAGTATTAATTTTTAAAATTCAAGTGCCTACGGAATTTAATTTTGTTCAAAATGAAATCCATTAAAGTATTCTTGATATTCCAAAGGTTTAAATAGTGTGATAGAGTTATTATGTGTATCTATTTTTTGCAAAATATTTGCCATTTGCTTTTATTATTTTCCTTTACAAAGTGAAAAAAATATCTCATTTATAATCTGTGCAGGAAACATTATCTGAGACTAGTGGTTGGCAGGTTTAGTGATCTAATATATTTTAATAAAATAATATTATCCTCCCTTTTAAATTTTTAAATACATTATGACAAAAATTTAAATTCTAGATGTAAAATTTTGAAAATATGTACCATTTGAAATTTTGCAAACATATACCATTTGATTTAGCCAGTGTACCATTTCATGTATAAGATGATTGCATTTTTGAAGGTATTTTTAGAAGGAAAAATAGTGCTTACATATTAAAATAGCTTTGCATGTATGAACTACATATATTGAAAGTGTTTGAGGAACATAATTAAATGTCTGTGTAACAAACCTTCTGATTAAACTAAGTGAATCTTTTTATTTTAACATAAATTGAGATCTGTCACAAATTCTTATATATTTTCTTAAACGTTAAACTTCAAATGTGCAGTAAATATGTTTTTAAAAATAATAGATTAAAGAGAAAAATAGCATGCTACATTCAAACCAGTGTGATGTGTGTTTGAAATTGTTTTTTACCGATTGTTATATGTTCTTGTTACATATATCATCACAAAAGAATCCTTCTTTATCTGTATTAAAATATTGTGTAAGAAAATTGAGATGTATTTCAGAATCCTTAGGATATAAAACAATAATGAACATTCCCCTTTTATCTTGTAAAAAATAAAATTTGCAAATAATTGTAATGATTTGTAATAAACCAATAATAATAATGTATAATTAAAAATTATTATCTATGCATGTGTGTATTTTTATTTATTTATTTTATATGTTTTCAATCTTTTTAGAAGACGAGGAACATTTTTCAAGCTAGTCGAATCAGGAGATTATAATTGGAAAAGAGATGACAACAGGGAACTCCTCAGGTATTTGAAACAAATTATTTTTAACATTTTTATTGTTCCAAAAAGTGAAAAGGAAAGTAGTCTAGATTTTAAAAAAAATAATTGTTTTAATTTTTTTTTTTTTTTTTTTTTTTTTTTTTTTTTTTATAGGGAAAGTATGCAGATACCTTTGTTTTGCTTTTTTTTACTCAAGTTTATATCTTGATCATCATCTTTCATCAGTCTGGTACTTGATGAATATGTTTCACAGGCACTGACTGCTTTAGAGCAGTGTAAATCTAGTTACATTAAAAGTTTGCTTAGGAATAAAAGAACCAATTGTAATTAAAACATTATTCAAGGATAAGACAATAATTTTGACACTAAAAGAATGTTTTGAAAATTTGGTCTACTGCATAGCAAATTAAACTGTAAATTAAAATTTCAAAAAGCTTCAAGGTTCAACCCCTGTCCTTTACAGTTCATTAAAAGGAAATTATTCTTTGGCTTGCATTTCATATATGAAATAGAACTGAAATGAAATGATATGATCAGTTCACTAGTGACTGCTGGCAAATTTTCAGAACATTATTTCTCTTGGATTTAATTCCTGACATTCTAATTGATGTTATTTCTGCACATTTTTTAATGTGTAACATGAACATAAGTAATTTTTTTTAAGACAGTCTTCTGTGCATGTCTCCCATCCTAAAGGAGATATGTCTCATGTATTTTGCCACAATTAAAGAACTTACCAAATTATATAATATCTACATGAGTATGGACTTTCAGCAGATTTTTTTTTCTATCTTTATTTCTTTACAGTCACCCCCTCACATGTCAGTCTTAAAAAATGCTGCTTTCAGGCATATGTTTGCAAGCTACCAGTTTGATGATATCTCTCTGAATGATTGTTTCGAATAACAAAAAAAAAAAAAAAAAAAAAAAAAAAAAAAACTGACAGTTTGTTAAAAAATTAATTGCAAACAGCGCAATAGATAACTTGAAACAGCTAAACAGAACACAGATGTAAGGAATTCTAATTCTTCCATAATGCAAAAGAAATAATTGCAGTTGCCAATATCACTTGCATAATAAACTCACAGTTCAGCTAAATGTTATAGTGTAATAACAACCTAAGCAGTTATAATAGCAACTCATTCAAGCTCTCTTAGTTGCATTTATATATATATCTAAGCACAGATCTGGTGTAGCACAAACTTCTAGAAATTTCAGGAAATGTCTGTCATCAAGGTCCATGAACAGAATAGCTTGCATTTCTCTTAAGCTATTTTTACATTATGAACATGCCTGACACTCTCAGAATCAACAATTCCATATATGTCATAAAAAAGCCATAATATTTCTTATAAGAAACCATGTAATACCATATAATAAATCAATAATTCCATGGGATCAAAAGGAAACTTTTAGTTTTGTGCACCGAAAAATCTGCCTTCTTGCCTGCTCGCCAAATTGCTTGATTTTGAATAGGAACTCTAATTTTAATTGTAAAAATTATTTTTTAATTGTTTTAACTGTATTTGGTTTTTTATGTTTTTCTATATCTTTTAATTTTTAATGAAAATATTTTGAGTTTTTATGCATTTTTGCCTTGCTGCGAAGGGAGAACTGAATTACCGTAATTTCCGGAAGAAACGCCGCGGCGTTTACGTGTTTAAAACTTAAATTTTCAGCGGGTGTGGCATTTCTACCCATGCGGCGTTTAGGTGCACTAAAAATAAAATATTTCCTATGATGATCATTGTACATAGTTTGGATGGCCTTGTCATTGTGCATAGACTGCTGCTGTTCCCACACAAAAGACCACTCAGTGCTTTTTGCGAACATTATTTTGTTTACTTTCTTTCCCTTGAACGGACCTACATGCCTTATTCACCCTAAACGAGATCTCAGAACAATAACATTCTTCCCCCTTTCAAATCAACATTCTCATCAGTTCGAATAGTCTCTCTCCTCTGCCATTCGATGAATCTTCCAGGACCCATCCTCTCCCCACCCCTGCGTTTTCTGCATGGAGGTAGGAAGTAAGATGGAGTCGCCCTAAACAAGTTTCTCCCGTACCCTGCTCTGAAGCGCCGGCGATCCCTACGTGCTGACCAAAACATTGGGTCATTTACCATTGAGTTCTATGGGATTTGATGCGTTCGGATGTAAATATTATGTAATTACGTCGTAAATATACATATAAATGTATATATTTTCTTTTTCTACAACACTTCAGAGTCCTAAGTATGTGAAAACAACATATTTTTAAACAACATTTCATTCTGAACGGAATTAAATGCTATACTTTTCACAAGACAGTTTTCTCAGAATGGTTTAATTTGAATGAAATATTTTCACAAGTTTTCGTTAATTACATTAGAAAAAAAAATTAAGGTAATTTTGATTTTATTCAGTTAAGGTACAAAAATTAAGATCAAAGTTTTATTGTATTATTAATATTAAAATTATGCATATTTCTTTTCTATTTATAGAGCTTCTTCCTAAAATACTTTCTTAAATATGACATGATTTTTTGGCTTCTGAGGCATCTTTTAAATCGAAAAATGTAAGTCAATTTATAATTAATGCTTTATTCGGTTCATTTTAAATTAGAGAATTATTAGGAATTAGCGAAATACTTTAAATAATTATTTCGCTAATTCCTAATAATTAAATAGGTATTAAATAGTACTTGGCTTTCTCTGAACATTTCTGAAAGGGAATAAAATAAGTTTTGGTTTTTTAAGCATTATTTAAAACTTGTAACTGAGTTATTATAAAATGTAAGGGGAATAATTCTTTTAATTATACTTATCAGATTTTTTTTTTTTACCCTTCATTTCAACAATACATATTCCAAAACTCTTTATTACGTTCTTAAGTGCGCATCTCATAGCATTTGCTTTACAATACCTTTTAACAGATTGCTTTCCAATACGAACAATTCTTGCTTAAATAGTTTTATAACGTATTTGTCAACAGGATTTCAATTTATGTTTACAATTCAATATTGAGGTTATTATATATTTAGATAACATTTATAATCATTATAAATTAGATACATTTAATAATTAGATTTCTTCACAGTACTTTCACAGTTGTTTATAAATGAATAAATTCTTCATTTCAAATACATTTATAAATAATTTAATGAATATTTAAGTATTTTGTCAAAGGCAGATACATGCTTTTTGCAAGCACATGCATAAATACCCATACATATTTCCTATTTTTCATTTCCGGCATGTGCAAATCTTTAATTTCTGTGCATTCACTATTTTTTTCGTGTAAAGTAATTTACACTAATTTAGCATACAGCCGAAAGTTTTGCGTAAAAAATATATATGAATATAATTTGAATGAAAATTATAGGTATTATTTTTAATACCACTCAAAGGTCAGTGTTTCTTCAAAATTCCTCCACGATGGCATCTCTCTCTTTAGGCAGATAGCCCTTGCATGCGTTACTCTGTTTAATAAAAACTTAATCTGACCTATGTACCTAATTACAAATATTTTAACATACATAATTTTATATTTATAAAACGTGTAAGTCCAAAGGGATTATTTTTCAGATATATAAAATTCAAACGATGGGTATAAAATGAGCAGCAGTAAAGCCTCTCCTCTAAAAAATTTTAAAAGGTACATGTTACAATAATATATGGATGTGAAAAAAATTTGTTTTATTTAAAACATTTTGACGTTTGGAAAATAAAATAAAAGTAGCGAATACTCTATCAAGGGTATCGAAAGACATATACAATTTTAAATGTACCGTAAGGTATTTTTCATTCTTTAAGCATACCATTTTTCTTAAAATCTATATTTTTTATAATGCAACAGCTTATAATTTTTTATAAACAAATTCATAATCAAAATCGCTGTTGTTTAGTTATCGAAAAATAACCAAGATGTGATTTTTACGTAAATGTCACTAAACTATACAAATTGCTATTATCCATCACATTATGAATGTTTCTTTCATGCGAAATTGTCCCTTTTTCGATTTCTATGGAACTGCCGTGTGTCGAAATACTATCAGAATCTTGTCAAGCGAGCTTCTGAATGTAAACAAAAAACACCCCATCTGGTGACCCAAGCTTCAAAGTAGTGCTTCACTTTTAGCGCGGGTTGGCCCCTCCTCCCTTTCCTACCTCGATGGTTTTCTGCAATTTTTTTCAAAGGCGGACACGACTCCACCTGCCTCGCAATAACAAACTCTGACGTATTTCCCCTTCAGCATGAATTGATTTTTCTTGGCATCCTGCCAGATACAGATCCCATCAGTTCGGGTACAAGTACTTGTTGGATAGTTTTTAAGTAAGAAGGGTGTGGAAGATTTTTGAAAATGTCCCTAAACAGCACAAAAGCTGTACTGTTGGTTTTAAGCTTAATGTAATTTCACGTGCTGAACAAATTGGAAATCGAGCAGCAGCTCAAGAGTTTGAAGTGGACGACAGATGTATTCGACGTTGGAGAACTGAAAAAGAACTTTAAAAATATGCCACAACAGAAACGAGCCAAAAGAAAGTGGTACTGTAAGGTGGCCAAATCTAGAGGACGACCTTGCAAACTGGATAAAGGAGCAACAAGGAAAGGGAATGGCAATTTCGACTGTAAAATTCGCTTACAGCAAAATTTATAGCAAAACGAATGAACATAAATGATTTCAAAAGAGGTGTAGCAGATTTATGAAAAGAAAAAATTATTCTGTGCGTACTAGAACAACAGTCGGGCAACAATTACCAATGGACTGGCAGTATAAAAAGTATCTTTTCTAAAATATGTGACAGCTATTATTGACAAAAAAAAACTTCTTCAGTCGCAATTAATAAATATGGATGAAACGCCGTTAGCTTTCGACTCTCCTGCAAACAGAACTGTTGATGAAACTGGTGCAAAAACTGTATCTATGTTTATGATGGGGCATGAAAGAACGTCATTTACATATGTGTTAGCTTGTGCCGCAAACGGTGACAAGCTAAAGCCGATGATCATTTTTAAATGAAAAACTATTCCAAAGGGAGATGGTATATCATATATCAGGACTTAGGTTGAGTTTTTGCATCTATACAGTCCACGACGATGTCACACGCAATTTAATCTATTGCGGCGTTTCTGTGTAAGTTTAATTTTTTTCCCGCCATTTTTCTCGAGTGTGGCATTTATGCTGATGCGGCCTTTCTTCCGGAAATTACGGTAATTGGACGAGAAACATATCTCTAATGGAATTTGAGGAAATAAGTTTAAATGAAATGCAGAAAAAAATGGCTATAATTTAATATTCTGCACAAGGAAGTCGTGATGTACACATCAGCTTTTTAGAAAAAAATAATAATTTTTTTTATTTGCTAAAAACTTAATCAGAATTGATTTTTTTATTTTCTTGTTTATTATATAGGATGAGTTACATTTTTCATGAATACCATATGATTTTCATATAAATGACACACATATTCACTTACCAACCAAAAGAAAACCTAAATCCATGATAAACAAAACCAAAGTTGTATAAAACAATAGTAACAAGGTCATATGATAAACATTGATTGAGAAATAAACTTCATTCTTAATCTAACGTCAGTTACGTAAATTTGCTCTTTTCATCTATGTATATGTCTAGCTAACGTGTAGGTTGTCTCCTCTTTTTAACACTAGTTGTAATGCTGCGATTATGTAAAAATGTATACTTAAAGTTGTTGAACTGAGGAAGCACCTATCATAACACTAGGAATATTTTAATTATGTGTATTCTACATATTGTGCTTAAATAAAAATGGAAATCCTTGACTTCTTATTTTTTAAATTTCTCAAGCACCAGGCATCCAGCTTCATCATCTTCTTCTATGTTAATCATTAATTTTTATTAAATATGTGTATATTACAAATATGCTAATTTAATGATAATAGAATAATATAACTAACTGAATCATTAAAATGTGTAGTTTTTTAAATCAGTGTGCCATCATAACTAAATGAACTAAAAATAAATACCTTATATTTTTCTTACTTTATTATTCAATTTTATGATTTTAATAGGAAAAATGTTTAATTCATCAGAAATTATTATTATTGTTACAGGGGTATGCTGATGACTCTTTGTGATATTGCAGCAATTACAAAACCATGGGAAATACAAAAAGTAGTGAGTAATGCTAATATTAATTTTCTATTTCAATTTTTTATTATTAGTTGCTATAAATGTGTCATTTAATTTTGCTGAGTGATTTTAAAATTTTCTTCAGTGTGCATAAAATTTCTGGAAAAAGTGCACATGTAACATAAGCAAGAATAGTATTTAGGAATGACAATCAAAATGCACATAAAAGTTTATGCACTTCAAAATTCAAAATATATTTTCCTTCCCTGCAGAAAAAGAGGTATGAAAATTAGGTACCACATTTTTTTTTTCTTCTTCTGATTAACTAGCATTTATGCTTTATTTTGATTGTGTGACCATGTACACAGGAGGCAGATTACAGAAATAATCTCAAAATTGCTTATGTAGGATGAATGTTATGTTTTCTACTTAATAAATATTTTTGAAACTCTTCTCATTAAAGGTTGCTGAACTAGTGGCCAGTGAGTTTTTTCAGCAAGGTGACATTGAAAAAGAACAGTTAAAGATTCAGCCAATTGTAAGTAAGACATTGAGTAATGTAGTTTTGATTAAGTACTTTTCATGCGTAAATGCCTGTTGTAATCAGATATACTTTTTACATTCTTACTTAAAATAAGTACAGAAATTCCAAACTCTCTGGGTTTTTCACCACACTGTCAATCCATAACATATTTCTCACAACTTTTCTCCTATTTGTAAAATTTTTAATGTTCTTCATGCTACTTGGTATAATGCTTCATTATTTATACTCTGAAATGTTTGGTTTGGTTTATTTAATTATGGCAAAGCACTCAAGGGCTCTCTGCCTAAGAGAAGGAATGCCTTCGTGGATGACTTCTTAAGGGAAACTGACCCATATACACTTTACACATGGAGAAAACTGTGAAAATGCCCATGCAGCCAACCTGTTCACCAGGATTCAAACTCCAGTCTAAACTTCTAGTGCTCATTGACTTTTACAGCTCAGCTGTTGATGGGCCAAGAAATGTCTGGATGCCTTTTGATGAAATAACAGTTGTAACAGGAAGATTTATTTTTAATATCATCATTGGTATTATGGAACTGTTAAATGAAGTGCCTGAAGTATTTTAAATGACAGAAAAGAAAGCTGATAAAAATTATTATTGTTACCCATTTGTTCACCAGTTCATTAGTATTAATTTGGCCAAATCAAATAAAGCATGACTTCTTAACCTATGCAACATGTGAAAAAACATGGAAAAAACACTCAAATTCATTTTTATTTAATGTGTTTAGTTGATGCTTTAAAAAAAATTGCTGAAAAAATTAGATGTAATTTTTCCTATTGTTGAGCATTTTGTTTGAAATAGGAAAAATATATTTCTTAAAGCAGTACTTTTCTGTTTTGCACCTGCTGTGCTTTTTGGTGCTTGTGAAAGAGAAGTCAAACACATGCACCAAGACTTAAGGATAGTGCCGTATGGACTGTTGTTTTGTGTGTATTATCAATGAAATACTTTTCTATTTAGAATTTTTTTATATTTAAGATTTTTGGTTTATTTAATTATGGCAAAGCACTCGAGGGCTATCTTACTAAGAGGGATGCCTTCGTAGAGAAATTTCTATGAGAAACTGCCTCATATACACTTTACACGTGGAAAAAACCATGAAAGCACCCATACAGCCAACCTGCTAACTGAGATTCAAACCCAGTGTAATCTACCAGTGTTCAATGACTTTATGGCTTGGCCGCTGGTGGGCTGTTTATATTTAAGAAATCTGCCAAAATGTGTGATAGGTGCTTAACAGAGAAGTATGCTGAAAGCTCCTACAAAAGGGCTTGTTTATATTTAAGAAATCTACTACAATGTGTGACATGCACTTAACAGAATAATATCCTTAAAGTTCCTGCAAAATTTAGCCATTCAAGAAAAAAAATCCCTGATATTCCTCTATGACTCAAATCCATTGTAACAAGATAGAGAACATAATTATCTGTAGTTTATTGTTGACTCATATGCTGTTGAAATTCAGGAAAAACATAACTGTCTGCAGTTGATTGTTGACTCACATAATGTTGAAATTCAGGGTAATTACAGAAAATGTCAACAGTTTTTTGAATGATAAAACAGAAGTTGTATAAAATGTTCAAATACTTTTTAATATCTCAAATGTTTGGAGAACATTAGCAATTTTTTAATGTATTTGAACAAACTTTTTGAGACTCTAAAGGTACTTGAAAAAGAAACATTGCAATGTTAAAAACGACTGCAAATCATAAGAAGTAATTATAATATTTAAACTCCATTCCTGGTGAAACACATAAAACTGTCAGATGAAATTATGAGAAAGTTGTTGCCTCAAATCTATTCTTTAAATGCATTGAAAACATAGGAAAAATTAAGCTGTTTCACATATGTTTATGGTGCCAGTTGACGAAAAAAGATTAGCTTTAAAATTCAGATACATTTTATGTGACAAATTTTAAACTTATTAAATTTGTGACAAGCATGACATATAATTTTGTAAATAAGACTTGAAATTATTATTTTTCTAGTATTTCTAGAGAATTTTCAAAAATAGGAAACAACTCACTATTCATTAAGGAACCTAGTGACTCTACAATAAAGTTTTTATATATATAGGTCATGTTTGATTATGTACATGTTATTAAATTCCTTTTGATATAATACTGTGTGCATATTCATTAATATTTTTGCTCAAGTTTTTTGATGGATTTTAGAGCAATAGTGTGAACGAGTTCTTGATTTGTTTTACCTATAAGCATAAAAAGTTATCATGAAGAGATGACAATATTGGAAAAGTAAAATAAGTGAGAAGTTCTTGGGGTCAGTTTAAGTAGTTGTAACTCATTGGTGAAATCTTTTGTACTATATGCAAGGCTAAAAAGTTTAAGCCATTAGAAGAGTGTTTGCCTTTTACTCAACATGTAAAATGCTTTACTCAAGTAATAAATTATAGAATTGTTCTGTAACCATTAGAACTGAGTAAGCAGGTGTCAAAATTAGTGTGATATAGACTTAGTTCTTGAATTTTTTCTTCTTGCTACTGGTCAATAAATGACCTAATTAAAACAAAACAAAAGTTGTATCTAAGAAACTGCATCTTTAACTAAACAAAAAAAAAAAAAAAAAAGATATTTCTTTAACAATGATGATTTTGCAATAAACTCAGAATTATAATGCATAAAAATTTAGTTGTTCCTTAATGAATAGTGAAATAGATCTTAATCTGAAGAATAGCAGTTCCCCCCCTTTTATAGCAGAACTTACCTTTTCTGTAATTACTCTTACTCTGAAAGCAAACACACTTCCTGAATTAATTCCCTATTGATTAATAATGAATGTATATATTACCTTTCCCCAGTTTTAAGCTTGTAGAGTCACTAGGTTAATTGGAAGCCAGAGAGATGAAAAATATGCAACCGCCTTTGCCGGGAATCGAACCACGGACCTCTGGAATACCGGCCCAGCGTGCAGAACCACTACACCACAAAGGCACGCTAGGGAAGTGGGAGAAATACCTTATATACTTCCCTTTTTAAAGGGCGACTAGGGTTTTTAGGGGACCTAGTCACCAAATCCTGGGTGCGGAGAATCGTCATCCACAACCCTTTTAGTTTGGGCACCACTTGTAGAGGCACTAGCACCACTTGCACTTGTCACTAGGTTAATTGAAAGCCAGAGAGATGAAAAATATGCAACTGCCTTCGCCGGGAATCGAACCACGAACCTCTGGAATACCGGCCCAGCGTGCAGAACCACTACACCATGAAGGCATGCTAGGGAAGTGGGAGAAATACCTTATAAGCTAAAGATTTAGTTTTTTTATTATGTTGGTAAAACATGTAAATATTCAAATACTTATTTATACTCGTGTTATTAAATTTTGCATTCTGAATTTTTAACAATTTAATGGTCAGGTTTTGAATCCACTATTATAAATCATCATTTCATCCACATATTTTTTTTTTTTTTTCACAATGAAGTTTCTCTAATCTAGATTAGTAAATATGAACTGGAGAAACTTTAGTGTATTTTAATCTTTTAATTTGCTGCCATAAATTTCATTTATTGTTCAACTTTATGTTATTGCTCTTTATCTTGTTTTAAGATGCTTGTGGTATTATTTTTATTTTACAAGGGTATCCAAATATGACCGGGACTTTTGCTCTTACAAACCACTACCCATGCACAGCACTGCATGTTCTTGGATGAGTATAGCCACTACCCCCAACTTAACTCCTGTTCAAATTTATAATTTGCTCAGTCATGTCTGGCAGTCACAAGAGTGGGGCGCAAACAACATCTGTCTTGAAGTGTGGAACACATTTTGATCAAATTTCTAGTTTGACAAAAGGTCCAGTCATCTAAAATTTGGCCAAAACTCCAAGCACAGTCTGGGGTAAAGAGTCTCTTTAAAATCCATGTGTTTGTATAGTGTAAGTGCTTTACTGATAGACAAGAGCAGTGGAAAACATCCATCACCCCAAGAAACTTTATCATGTGCATGCAGATATTTGTGAGAACAGGTGCATCATTATCAAAGAATTTGCATCAATGCTTTTCAGTCAGTATTGATAATGTAGAAACAGTTGTTAAAAAACATTTGCTCTATGACAAGGTGTACGTGTATGCACATTGACAGATGAGAAGAAAATGATGCATGCAAACTGCCAATTATCTCTTACAGTAGTTTGAAGATAAAGAGGATACATCTGTGAAGATCAGAAGGATCACTAATGAAAAGTGGGTCCTCTGATCTGCAATTGCAAGTCTTTAGTTCCACTTAGCATGCAATCTGTGGATAATGATGGCGTCCATATTCTGGAATGGATTCACTATCAACTTAAAAACTTGCTTGAAAAGAACACGAAAATGCTTCCAGAGCATTGTCAAAAATGTATCAACTCTGGAGAAGAATGCGTTGAAGGGTGATATATTAATTTTTTTCATTTTCTATAAAGGTTTCATTTAAAAAAATTGGTCCTGGTCATATTTGAACCACCCTGTAGCATTGATATGAAAACTTATTAGATCCAGAATGTAACTTTTACTAATTTCCTATTGTATCATATATATTTTGTTTTAATAATATAAAGTTATTAATACATCATGTACTAGTTTATATATTTAATTTTTGGAATTTTAAAATTTAAATATTCATTAAGAAATATTTATATCTTGTCAATCAATGTTATTTATAGATTTGTTTATTTTTAAGGATATGATGAATCGTGAGAAAAAGGATGAATTACCTTTGATGCAAGTTCGATTCATTGATTCCATATGTGCACCTGTGTATGAGGTAAATATATATAAAGATTAAATAGGAATAAATGAATGAATTTTAAGGATGTATTTTTTTCCGTGCATAAATCATAAGTAATTTCTTTCTAATCTCTAAATATTTTTGTTTTATGTGACATCATGCTGCAAAAATACCACATCAAATAAAAATAACAAATCAGTTGCGTGTATCTGTTTCATTGTTACTTGTGTATGAGTTCATTATGGAATGGATTGAATACCCACAGAACTGATGATGTATTAATAAAATTTATTTTCCTAAAAGAAACACTTTACAGTTTTAGAACTTTTCACAGACGTACTCTTACAGTTCTTAAGTATGACAGGGAACTATCAGTAGTTACCACTTCAAACTACAACACAGCAGAATATAAAAGCCTCAATTGCATAAGCTTGTGCAGTGATCTCTCAGTACACTGAGCTAAACTCTGAATGTAAAACCAAGAATTCTCTTTGGTCTTATATGGTTTTTGCCCAGCCACTAAAAAATTTCGAGCATCTTCAATTTTTTGAAATTGTTGGAAGGAATACTCTGTTATAGTTACATAGGGCCAGATATAGTTACAGTTACATAGTGATAGGACCAATCACAGTTGCACTAGTGTTGGATCAAAATAGTACTTCTCATCAAATTTAGTAACAAAAATTAGTTACCAAAGCCATTGCCAGCTTGGTGCTATCTCCCAAATTTGGCAAGATAGTCATTTTACTTAGTGTTAACCCTTTTGCGCTGATTCTCATGCATAGTCTAGCAAGAACTGCACTCATTTCCTGGCCAGTCCCAGAGCATTTTCTCTTTCATCTCCTGCCCGTCACACATTTGTGCTAGTGTCCTGGATATTTTTAAAATCACTAGATGGCATCCTGTGTCCATTAGTTTTGAAGTGAATATCATAGTTTTAGGATCCTGACCTTCAATTTGATTACATTCTGTGTAACACTGGTGTCAGCTGTTGGGGGGGGGAAGTGTAATGTAAACAGCTCGCAAGTGATATAAATATTCGCTTTTCTGATACCTTTTTGAATCCTTTTTTTATTCTTTTTTGCTACTATATAAAGTCTTTTAGGGTTACTACGTGGGGTTCTATTAGGCTTTGCATTGTTTTTATTGTTTATATTTGCGTCTTTCCCTTTTTATTTTGGAAAGCCTCTACTTGAGTTTATTATTTGCTCGAGCAAGCATTATTTATCAGATGAAGGATATACTCGTATTGTAAATGAGCCAGTTAGTGAATGAATGAGAGTGATGATTCATTTTTCAAAAGAGTTAGAGAGTGATATTTCTAGTGACTCTCATATGAGCATTTTGTCATGACCGAGCTCACTGAGTGTCTGTCTTCTAGTTCATGTGAAAGTTTTTTTAATTCTTCTCACAAATAGTCTTTCTTGTATTTGTAAGTTCTTTAATGTATTTTATCATTTAAAACTTTGAAATAATTAATTGTGATTCTGAAAATTGTTTCTCAAAGTAAGCAATTTTTACCTCCTATTACGAAGTAAAGGAAGTACTTATAGTCGCAAAAAATTTTCGGGTATCATATTTCAACGAAAATGTCCATTTTGACCACTATCAAATGAAATGTAACAATATTTTTGCATGACATCTGTACGCAAGAACAGTAAAGGGCTGTTTTTCCGAAAATGGGTTGCAAAAAGATTTAAAATGGATTTGGAAGAGATTTTTTCTTGTGACATCTGTACATATGTATCTCGCACAACTCAAAAACGAGTAGCCTCAGAATGTTGAAATTTTGTATGTAGGACTGCTGTAACATGTAATTGTGCACACCTTTTTTGGTTGCTGTCGGCTGCACCAAAAGTATATAAATATATGTATATATATATATATACCTACTCTTCTGTGAGCTCGTTTTTTTTCTTATGTTTGGTAAATGAGGATTTTTTGCTTTAAAAATGGCTGAATTATGTTGTCTGTATCTTCTGGTTAAGGTTTCTATGCCTAGTTAATCTGTATGCAATAGTTGCAGAATTATCAACAGTTTAAAAGTTGTTTAGTTGATACTAAGCCTAACGAGTCCGCTGTTTGTTTACATTTGAAACGCTTAGCAGAATGGCGAATAAAATCAGTTTGTGCAGGAACTTCTGTGCCTTTTCGCCGAGTGGAACCAAAAGTAAACTTTCAATTTTATGCATCGAAAAATCTGTCTTCTTACCCGCTGGCCGAATTGCTTGTTTTTGCGAAGAAACTGTAATTTTAATTATAATTTTTTTAATTGTTTTTTTATGTATTTGGTGTTTTATGTTTCTCTGTATTTTACAATTTTTAATAAAGATATTTTGAGGTTTTATGTATTTTTGCTTGTCGCAAATTGAGAACTGTATTAATGGAAAGAGAAATATATCTCTAATGAAATTCGAGGAAATAAGTTTAAATAAAAGGCAAGAAAAGGTGCATATAATTTAATCTTCCATACAAGGAAGTCATGTGGTGTGCACATGAGATTTTTTTAAATATGTTTTCATGTAAAGTAAGGGCAAAAGATAATTGAAAGGTAATTTTAACATACATGATATCAATCTAAAAGAGTACAAAAATTACGACATTAGAACATAAACTTTTTTCTGTGATTTTTTTCCCTAACGTTTGGTTTAGTGGTTGCAAAATCCCTGTCATGTGGGACAATCCCTTTCGACTCCCATCCATCCCAAGTAAATGTCTTAAAGGCACTCTACCTCAAAAGGTTTAAATGGACTTGCATCTGTTACCTTATATTTCTGCCGAAGTTTCACTGTGTTCAGACCTTTCATGTTACATTATAGAACAGATGCTACTTCACTAAAATTATTTATGTATATACAAAATTCATAGCATTACCCCCTTCCCAAGGACAGCATATCCTGGGCAGTATAATCCCTCCAGTATAATCCCTTACATGCTTTTACGACTAAGGAAAATCAATGCAATATGGAATTAATAATTTTGATAAATACACGAATTTACAAATTTATAACACATGTAGAACCATAGTCATAGTGTACTATTTACATCTTATATACTATGGGATCTACATACTTTGGGCATAATAAGCAGCTAGTCTGTTGTAATGAATAGCTTTAGGCTTAGAATTTGAAACTGATGAGTTACGAATTCAAAGTATGATGTCTTTCAGTCTGTGTGAGGACTGTGTACGGACAGTCCCAAGATGACTATAAAAGCCCTTTCGAATCAGATTCCATAACCACACGTTTTCACCTACATTGGATCTATGTCCTGTGTTATATTGCATCTTTATCATCTACATTGGCAAGCTGACTCATTCTACAGATTTATGCATCACTTCAAATTGTGCCTGGAGATCTTGGATGTACTTGGAGATCAGGCGATAAAGATGCATCTGTAGGGTTATCAAACAAGAGATCACAACCAAAGAGCATCTGGGATGGGGAGTAGCAAGTAATCTCAGAGATGGCACTGCAATAATGCCAGTAATAGCAAGGATAACATCTGGTCCCAGCTCTGTTGGTTTCTGGAAGCCGTCAGCGAGAGGTTCTTAAGGATGGTTATATTAAACCTTTCTATAGTGCCATCTAACTGTGAATGTAAAGGTGTCTTTTTTTTTTCCCCCTATGCCGAGTAGTTTAGAGATTTCTTTAATTACAGCCGAGATAAAATTCCTTCCTTTATCGAAATGTAAGTGAAGAGGCATCCGAAACCTAAAAATTCAATTATGTATCATCACTTTTGCTGCCATGACAGTCTCTTGATCAGAGATGGGATATGCTTCAGGGCTACTGTGTTAAGTAACCAGTGACAACGAAGATGTATTTGTTGCTATCAGTTCATAGCAGAGGTCCCAGGATGTCAAAGGTGATGTGTTCGAAAGTCTCTCCAATACTTAACATTGATTCTTCCCTCCGCTGCATTTTTTCAGTCCTTTCCAACCTGCATAGATATCACAAGATTGGCATCACTTATGTATATCAGCCTTTACTTTACTCCGGTAGAAGCGCTCTTGAACTCTTAGGCAAAGTCTTTAAATATTCCGATGTGGCCTCCTTTAGGACTGCTATATAGTTCTTTAAGGATGTCTGGGATCTGAGATGTTGGAAGCAATAGTTACCATCAGAATGCCTTTACATCATCCAGTTTGAACTGAAAACAAACAAAGTGAAGTACAAAACACTGTTTCAGATATGAAGGAAACCTCAGGGAGCCTGATATTGTTTTGTCATAGGACTGTAGATTAAAATGTCCTGCTAGGTAGGTTTCTTATTTGAAGACTTCACTAGGTCAGTTATGGGTTTAATGTCGCCATCTTTGAACTGGTCTTTCCTGACGTCTTCATCACTCCCTGCGTCTGGGGCAGATGATGGGGAAGTTGTAACTTGATATGTGACCAGATTAATCAGCACACATCTTGCTTCAACCCTGGAGCAATTTTGCAGCTTTCTGGGCAGGATGTTCTAGATAAAGCATTGAAGTTTTCTGTGATTAGCCTTTATGATGATGGATAGGGATGTCATATTCCTGGAGTCTCTGTATCCATCTGGCTCTATTTCTGAAGCACCTTCTTGCTATAGTCTTCTGGATAGATCTTCAAAGTTTACCCTCTGATTTTCAGGCAGAGTATGAAGAATATCCACTGCATATGCTCTCAGAGATTTGGCAAGATGGCAAGCCTTAGCATGGGAATTCCAACCCTTTATGTGCGCCACTATAGAGAACTGAATCTTGTAAACTTGTGAGGAGATTTTTCCGTCATACGTGAATGAGTAATTTTAGAGAGGGTTAAGAAGACATAGATAGGAAATTAAAGGCATATGACATTTTTGAGATAGTAGGCTCATGAGCAAAGGGGAGGATGAACACAGTGTCTTTAATACACCCAAAAGAAAAGGCGACATGATATAAGATTTTAAGACCAAACTGGGGACAGCTATTAAGTCATCCTTGCTGGAAGGCTGTATGAGCAATTGCATTTCCATCTTGCCATGATAGGTACCTCATGTTCTGTGGAAATACTGATAAAAGAAAGATTATTTAACTTAACATTAAGTGATTTTTTTTTATTTAGAGGTCTAGATAAGTAAATGGTAATAAACTAAAAGTAAATAAACAGTGTATGAAGCAGTAAAACTTGCTACTTGATTTAGATAATTAATATGGAAATTTTCATATGCTACTTTTTTTTTTAAACTGTAGTATGTATTCTCAGTACTGCATAAAATAAATATAATCAACTCCTCTTTTACTGGAGGCAAATTGATCTGGCACTGCTAAAAGAAAGTTTAGTTGTGGAATTTCAAAAAAATTACTATCACTAACTGATATCATAATATAATATATGTGAATTTTTTATCTACAATCATATGCAGTTTCTCTCTATATATAAAGAATAATGAATTGATAAATAATTTTAAGTCATCTACGAAAAGTAAAAATAAATAAATCAAGTATAGATCCATTAGTCTTCTGTTTCATATTGGCAGCAATCAAATACTCTTCTTTAGTGCAATTTATAACTTAGTTTATTTCAAATGATATAATCAATATAAGTTTCTTCCCCCTTTTTTTAAAAAGCTGGTGTGAATTAATTGTAATTTTGGATTAACTATAGATGTCATCTCATGTATTACCATGGTAAATCTGGAATAGACCATGCACTTTAGATTCCTCTTCACTTTTCTCTATTAAACTTGAGGCATATTTTGTTATGTAACCAACTTAAGAAAAACATTATGAAATGGTATGAAAGCTCTAATGTAGAAAATAAATTTGAAAGGAATAATTTGATTAATTCTAATATTGAAACCCATTTAAGTAGTATCTAGTTTTTTTTATTTATTTGTTTATTTACAGGCTTTTGCTAAAATTTCAGACAAGCTGAAGCCTTTAGTTACTGGTGTTCGTGAGAATCGTATGCAGTGGTTGAAACTGGCTGAAGCAAAAAATCTCTGTTTGTGCAATGAGAAGTGATTTCTGTGTCAGAACATTTTTCTCCGGGATATTCAGTATTAATATTTTATCACATTTTGAAGGTAAACTGATATATATTATATGGTTTTGTCCTTATATGAGGATTTTGTTAGGTGGCATAGTTATATTTTCATTAGAAAGAAGTAACATAAGCATTAAATACATGTTTTTATACTTGGGAAGAAATAATAATAATTTCTACATCCCCTCACCCCCATCATTGATTCTTAGTACTTGGATATCTGTGTAATTTTCTATTAAGGGGCATTTTGTATTTCGGTTTTGAATTTTATATCTGAACTGTATGAAGTATGATCTTATAATTTTGAGTAACTGTCATATTTAAAACAGCTTTTCGTATGTCCTTTCTGCCGAACAAAAAAACTAAAGTTCAAATTTTTAAATTTTAAGAACAGAAATTTTTTTTCTAAAATTTGCATGAGATATTTTTGGGATTGGAGCAATTATTCTAATAATTTTTTATTTTTCCAAAAAAAAACGTCTAAGAGCTTGCTGATTTACCTGTTAATTGCTAAAGTTTGCATCATTGCAACTCAGGACAACGTATTCATAAATAATGTTATGATTCATGTTATTTTTTTAAATATTTAATATGATTTAAATTAATTTGTTCTAAGAAATTATTGTTCTTAATTAATATTTATTTCTTTAAATATATGATAAATTTGTATAAAAATCCGCTATTTTAAATTTATTGTATAAATTCTATATTATTTTTTACATATGGAATAAGATTGATTCACATGTTATGTTTTCTTTGGTCAGTGAAAAATTTAATGAAATTAAAATACAGGAAAAAGGAAAGTACGCATTAAAGCTAAACAATTTTATAAAGCAGACAACTAATAAACTATCTTTTATTCTTTTAATTCTTTCAAAATATATTACAAAATTTCAAAAATCTGCTACAAATATGATTAAATAAAAAAATATGGTCTTGAAAGCATTGTTTCTCATTTATTTTTATTTTGACTTAAAACAAAGTTAGTAATTATTTAAAATTTGCGGATATAATATTTACAATATGAATTTAAAGGTGTATGATTAATTACAAGATTTTTACATTAGATATTTGCTGAAATTATATGATATTCACAAAAGCAAGTAAATATTTTTTTTAAACTGATATTTGGTGTGAACATCCAAAGAAACAAAACAACTGATTCAAAATATTTTAAATGTTCTTGCTGTTCCATCAACTGAAATAAATATCATACAATGTAATCAGTTTAAAAATATTTGTCAAATATTTGTTTATTTTTGGCTGTATCCCTCTGTTCAAAAATTGAAATTGACAAATTTAAATTTTGTTGATATAAAAAGAATGTTGAAACAGTGAAAGTTCTTTAGCCCTTTGGAATTTGAAAACGTGTCTTTTCTTTTAAGCTACATAAAATTAACACATTTGCCTCTCAGTATTCTTAAACAGTGGTGAAATTAAAAAAATACTTTTCTAAATTTAAATATTTTGTAAGATAATAAATATTGCATTAAAGAAGAAAATCTGTCTGTAAGCAATGTAATGTGTCTAATAATAATTAGTTTTTCGTGTTAATATTGATCTCATATATAAAAGCATTAACAACTCTGCCAGAATTAAGGTTTACAAATATCAATTTAAAATTCATTACATAGTAGTTATATACAGGCTGTCCTTGAATTCATGGGCCAAACTTTAAGGTTAGCTAAAATACATATAAAGAAGCATTTTTTTCTCTAGTAGTGTGTTAGGGGGCAGAAATGAGAATTGTAAACGAAAATGCTGCTGAAATGAAGAAATGCTTTATCTATGTAATTGTTACAGTAAGTGCTGAAATGTTCAACTAATACCAGTGATAAAGTCCTGGAAGTGTTGATTCAGTTATCAGGGTATATTGTGGCTAGTAGAGGGTGGAATCACAAAGAGTTATGCTGTATGTATTTTTGTAAAAGATTTTTAGAGCAGACAATATTACAAGTTTAGTGATGTAGCTTAATAAAAAAGATGAATTATGCATTTTTGGGAAGAAAAGTAATTGAATATGAAGATTTATTTAGTTTGCAATATCAAATCGTCTGCAAAACTATTTCATTGAGTTTGAATGACATTATGCGAGTTTCAAACAGTTCTTTACTGGTAGAGAATTATGTGCATGATGGAGGAATTTGCACCTTCTGAGGAAGCAGACATAAATCTTATGTACAGGGCTGAAAATCGTATTGGAAGAGAGGCATTAAGGTTTTATGATGCATATTTCTCCAATAGGATAAAGCTGGATCACAAAATTTTTCCGTATTTACATGACAAATTTTGCTAGAGTGATTTATTTCATGTTCAGAGACCAGAACCTGATCCTTTAGACACCTACAAATTCCAGAAATGGAAGAATGTATTCTGAGAGAGGTTGCAGATAATCCAAGCACTAGCATAAGATTGATTGCACAGATTTCGGGTGTGAACAACAGTAAAATAACAGTATGGAAAATTCTTCTGGAAGAAAGACTTTTTCCATACCACTTGTAGAGAATGCAAGCACTGAATGCAGCTGATTAACCTTGGTGCATAGATTTTTGTCGTTGATTTTTGCAGCAGAGTACATTCACTTCAAGCAAATGGACTCTTCACAGATGAGGCCATCTTTACATGAGATGGAGATTTTAATTTGCAAAATTCCATGTGTGGGTCGCCTGTAACACACATGCTACATGTATGCATGCTTTTTAGAAGCAACTCTGTGTTAATGTGTGGGCAAGGTATGGTGAATGATTTCCTTATTGGCCCATACTTAATACAACATCAACTTAACTGTATCGAATCTTTCTGGAGAACTTATTGCCGGAATTACTTGGTAGTGTTCTAAATGCCATGTGGTTTCAGTGGGATGGGGATCCAGCTCATTTCCAGAATAATGTACACATTATACTCAATGCCACCTTTGGCCATAAAGGAAATGGATGAAATGGACCAGTTGCTTGGCCAGCAAGTTTGCCAGATTTGTCAAGTATTGATTTTTTCTTATGGGGACACTTCATTCATGTACGAAATTCCAGTTGACTCTGATGAAGAGCTGATTGCAGAACTTTCAATCACTGCTGCATCTGTTCATGAAACACCTGTCATCTTCGAAAGTGTATGGCAATCACTTGCTAGATGCTACCAGAATTTCCAATTCCTCTGTATCGATGTTGGGGTGGCCCATTTGAGCACTTACTGTAATATTATATAAATAAAGAGCTATTTTTCATTTCCTCAGCATTCCTATTTTTCCACCTACACTTTTCATTTGGGACTCTACATTGGTATACAAAAACCCTTTTTATATGTATTTTACCTGTTGTTAAAATTTTGCTGATGAATTCAGGTGCGCACTGTATATAATTGCTGCATAACTGGCCTTTTTAAAACTTTTTTTTTTAGCTGTTTGTTTTAATTCTTGTCTAGGCCTCCAAGTTTTTATAGGAATATTTGAGTAAATTTTAAGCTTCAAAACTTTAATGAAATTTCAAAATTTATTCCACTAGTGTCATATGAATTTTGTATTTTCCCGTTACAGTAAAATCATTATTCTTATTATGATAAACATGATTCACGCTTCTGACATCATTTAGCATTATGCAGTGCTTATCAGTTATCATTTGGTATCACTGCCATAGCTGAATGGAGTACGTTATTTCTAGTGTGGGTTTGTCTAATATAATAAGATTAGTTTTTGTTGTTTACTGTATGTGAATCTTAAATTTGCAAATTTTTTCTTAATATTGCAATTTAACATTTATAATTAGAATAATTCATCAATTGGTTCTTTTAATCCTAAAAGATTAAACTTGCTTAAAGAAAAAGAAAGGGAAAGATCTTTCACACAAGGAATAAATAGAATTTTAGTTAAGTATAATTCAATGAGTGATTTTGTATTAATAGATAACTCCAAAGCAGTACTGAAATAAGAAATATTGGAATGTTTTATGAAATTATCTTGGAATTGGAAAAAGAAAATTAAGAACTTAGAATGAGAAGAGGGGAATTGAAGTAAATCAATAGAAATTATAATACATGATATATCAACAATTCACAATAAAAATATTGTAAAAAAATTATTGCTTGCTCATAATGCCAGAAGATAACAGTGGCCTTATTGGTTCAGAATTTATGTTTTATGCCAGTATTGCTGTTTGGTGTTTATACCCTTTCATTTGTGCATGAATTTAAAAAATATTTTTAATATCCAGTATTTTTAGAAAGAAAATACTAAAAAAAATTTAAGTGATTTCTAGATGAGCATGGGTAATTTATAAAGTGAAAAATGTGTTAAAACTGCATAATCTGCATAAGCAAATATTAAATGCATATTAAAATAAATTATATAGGATACAAGCTGTATTAAAATATTGTTTCAGTTTGCTAATTGCACATAAATAAAATTAAGATCTATAATTGTATTTAATAAATTTTCAGATTCTGTAGATATAGTTCCTGGATTCTGAGGTGTCTTCAGACCATTGGTTGGGAAATATTGTTTTAAAAGACAGAAGCTTCAAAAAGATATGTTCTGTCAAAATCATCTTCCTAGCTATAATTGCCAAATATTATACATTATTGTGTAAAGACTACTGAATTAATTACAAAGATGCTATGCATCTATTAATTTCAATTTAAGTTTATCAGATCTGCATTATCAAAATGATAAAAATAAAATTTTTAAAAGAAATTCTAAACTTTTCATGAAATATATCTTTAATTTAATATATAAATGTTAAAGATAAAACTTCTGTTTATGAAATACGTATATATGGAGACATATCTTTACTCTTTGAACATTTATATTAAAGAAGTTTTTAGATTTTTATGTATTTAAATTTTTGCCTCTTACCAAACCCCGATTTTTAAATAGTTCATTTGTGTATGTTACAAATAAAGAATTTGCCAGCATTATATAATAAAAGTAGCAAATTAAAAAACATATATAATTTATGCATATATATTTGTTCATATTTTGTTTAATAAATATACCAAAGGTTCTTCCCCTTTGAAATGGGTTTTATTCCCCTGAGCCAGGAAGTTTGAAGTAGCAATTATATTTTAATGTTTTACTCTAAGGATTATATATAGGATGATTAGAAAAGTCTCAGTTTAAGCTGTATTTCTTTAACTATTGATTCTAAATATGTACTTCCAACTAAAAATGCAGTACATATTATAAAATATATAACTGCTGCTATAAAAATTATAAGTTACACTTATCTTTGTGAAACATTTAGTATTTAATTCCAGTTTTCATTTAATCATGAGATTTTCTGATACTTAGCATATATCAGCTTATAATTTAAAATATTGTCTTTCTTGATATTTGTTAATGATCGAAATATTATCATAATGAATGGAAGATTATGACAACAGACAATGAAACAAGTAATTATGGAAATCTATCCAATTAGTGTTGCTGTTCATCAGTAGGCTCCAAAACCCATGCTGCTCAGAGAGTTCATATAAAGAATTATTTTAAATAATGGTTGTATATTATGGTATTCATTATTTTAAAATTTCATTGTTATACACACAGAAATATGTACTTACTTACCAGTGATTTATATTATACTTGAATAACTATATTTAATAATTATTGTTTGTTTTTAGTGTAACATGATTGTTTGTATGTAAAATATGCAGGTTAAAAAAATTATGCATTTCATATTGCATTATAAGAAATGTTAGTAAGAGATTTTCATACATATTTTTGTATCTACACTTTTCTAAATCTTTTGCAATAGCAATAAAAATGAAATATTAAGTATTCTTAATATGAACATTAGTTTTCACATGGTTAAAAAACTGATTAAAAATTTTATGCTTAATAGTAATAAATAATAGCTTAGGATTATAGTGTTATTAATTCTTTCAAAACTGAATGAAAATTTATGTTAACTGTGATTATTCCTCTTTTATTAAATTAAATGGCAAAGCTGTGCTTTTTTTTTGAAAGTAGACTGAATGCTAATCCTTTTAATAAGTTTCAGCAAGCTTTTATAAATATATAAATCATTGATTTTATTATTATAGATTAAAGATTGCCTAAATATACATTGTGATAATAATCTTTATTTCAGAATGGGCAGTTTTTAATTAATAATATAAATAAAAAAACTCATTAAACAACTGAAAATGAAATTTAGGTTCTATATATTAAATGGTATTCTAGAAAATACTATGCTGAACTTGAAGCTAAGATGATGAGCATAAAAATTTAAGTAAAATGAATTATATTTGTTCATGAGGAAAAATCATTATATATATAATTTTCTCAAAAATGCTACATTTTTATGAAATATTTAAATTGTTCTGATAGTGCTAGATCTGTCATTAATTATAGTAATTTCTTTTCTAAAAAATATGAAGCCCAAGAAATCTGTTAGATAGATGATTTTGAGGATTGTCATATGCCGATTTATAGGAAATTGTTTGAAAGATTTAGGAACTATATAGCAGTGGATATTTCTTATTCATAACATTATATGTGTGGTCTGAATTATATGTGTGGTCTGAAGCTTGTGTAACATATTTTTAATAATTTGAAAAATCAGTTATCATGTGTGTTTGTTTGTTCATAGTGAAACATATTTATGTGAAATTAAAATTTTATTTTGAGCTTGGGTTTTGTCCGTCCGTGTTTGAGCTATGCCATACTGTTCTATCCTTACAAAACCCTATGGTTTATTGTGTATTTATTCAGATTCCAAACCACATCCCTTTAAAATGTTCAAGTTATACACATTTTGTGTCATTTAGATGTGTATTTTGCTAATGGTGTACAAAATGAACGTTCATGGATATGCGTGTTAAATAATCTAAAACGTTTTATGCTTATTCAGGGTTTTTACTGATTTTTTAAAGGCCTTAAAATTTTCTGATTGCTGATACTTAATTTCGATTTGAGGTCTTTAAATGTGTTCAAAGAATTTTCTGTTTTTAATTTTAAAGTTAATCATTAAAACTATGAAAACTTTTTTTGACCATTATTTCAAATAATTTTTATGTTTTGTATGCATTTTATGACAGTTTACTAAAATATTTAAAAATTGTTAAAGTGCTTAAAGGTAATGCAAGCAGTAAAACATAGAAAGGAACACTGAACTTTTTTGTTTGTTTGTGTTATTGTTTGAGATTTAGTTTTCTTGTTTTGTGACAGTTTTCATTGTCCCAATTGTTTAATGTACATAAAAAGCATTATATAATGTTATACTATACTTACACTTTTGTTTTTCAAATTTTGGGGAACAAAAATGTTTATGACAGATAGTAATTGAAAGTTTTTTAAAAATACCAAAAAGGGGCCATTAGAAATTATTCATTACTTTTGTGATTTAAAAAAAGTATGAACCCTGTATTAAGTATTATATATATATTATGAACCTTGGCGTTAAATGTTCTTTTTTTTTTTTTTTTTTAAGAATTACATATGTATGGCAGGTCTTATAGTATATAACATATTTGTCATAAAACATATAAAAAAAAGTTTGAAAAAAAAATACATGTTTATGGTGATGGTAACTTTGCTATTATTGTACCAAATCTTCTAGAAGCTATAAGGTGTATTTCATTATTTATTAAAGAATTTGATGGATGTATCCTAACTCTAAAGTGCAAATTTCATTGTTGCATTTTCTCTTTATTGTTGATCATGATATGGTGCATAAAAATTTTGAAATTCCGTGCTGTCTGTTTAATTATTTAGAATGATTCATATTATATTATTATAATTATACAGTATTATAGATCATTTTAATTGTACATACAGAGAAAGAGATCAATAGTCGAAAGATGTATAATTAAAAACTATTAAAATTATGAATGTCTGCAAAATTAAAGTGTATGAAATAGTGTCAAATATAAATCTACCAAAAATGCAAGGTATCTAACATGAAGAAAGTACATATCAAACAACATGAATAATATTTTTTTTCCATTTTCTTTCTGTTTTGACTGTTTTATGAGTTTATTTATATGCATATTTTAACTTTTACATGTCCTGTTGCATCAAATGTGAATCTTCATTTTACATTATTTATAAGTCTAGTGCTTCAGGCCTTTGGGAGGATGCAATAAGCATTTTCCTTTTAATCTGTAAGCTTTTTTTTTCATCTCCTGTTTTACAAAATTGAATTTTCGAAAGTTGATCGGTTGTTTCTTGAGCATTTTTCTTTTATTTTAATTTTCACTATTGTATTTTCTGTATTAGAACTTGGAGTGATATAATACTTTTAATTCAACTACAATTTTTTTTTTTTTTTTTTTACATTAGTTGTTGGTTTATAACAATTTTTGCATGTTTGCTATGTTGGGGCATTTCCCCTCCCCAAATGACTTTTTCATTAGGTAGGTACTTACACAATTTTGTGAAATTTTATCTCATTGGAATTTCGAATTAGCATTGCTTTTTACTTTATGTTAAGTTTAAATTCCATAAAAAATTTCTAAAAAAAACTTAAATTCAAAATTAAGACTTTTTCCAGCTTGTGCTAATCTTAACAGTGTATTTATAAATTACAATTAATTGTATGGTGTAAAATACACATTTTCTTTCAAGTCGCTTCAGGGCTGGTTATATCTTAATGAATGCTGCCAAAAAGAGTATTTCTTTTTCCTTCTCATTTGATGACTTTTATATTCAATTCATAATGCTTCTATAATTTCTTAAACCACTGAAGTAACTTTTTGCTAAGGGAATATGGTCTTATTTCCCGCTCCCCCTGTTGTGTTGTTTCATTAGAAGCTTACATTATGTGTCAACATTAACCTTATTTTCACTCAGCCTTGCATGCTGCAGTGTATGGGTTATTTGTGTTGTTTATTGTGCTCTGCATGTTAAATCATCAGAGTCATGGCTATTTCATTATCATTAACAATTCTGAAGACATCAATATGTGAATGAAGAGAGAAGGTGGATATCATCATTTATCTTTGTCTTGCAAAAGATGGTGTGTTGGGTAAATGGAAAGCTTCCTTCTGGGCCTAACCAGTTACGATACAACTGTGCATTTTATAAAGAAAAATATTTGTTCCAATATATTTTATTAACCCCTAAAAATTTATTCCATTAGCTCTCAAAAACCCTGTTTGTTTAGGTTTACACATATATAAAAATAGCTTGTTAAAGTAAAGTAGAAAAATGAAAATATTTAATTTAATAAATCTTTCTCATCTAGGGCAAAGAATCAAAATTCAGTTCTGAAAAATTTAAAAATCAATCAGTAAACAGTTTTTTCCCTTCAAATTTTAGATTTATATTTCATAATTAATTTTATGAACAGGCATGCAATAAAATTTAAAAACTTCTGATGAAAATGGTGAAGCTAGTGAATTCTTCTAATAATAAGGTAATTTTTACACATCATCTTTCATTAAGCATACATAGAGTACTTATCAAAATAAAGCAATCAGTATTGAGACAGATATACTTTATGTTCAACAGTTTCGAGTACACATACTACACATCTACAGTATCGTAACTGGCGATAACAAGAAGTAGCAGGCTGCATGTTAACAGTATAAAGGCAGGTAGGTATAAGAACAGCAAAATTAAATTATGTTAGATTAAGAATGGTGAAGTTATTTTTGGTCTTAGTCGAATGGCATAGTATTTATTGCTCTATTATTATTAATTTATGAAGATAAATTCTGTTTGAATACTACTAGATAAAAATTTCAGTTCTGTTTTTGCTATTATTTAAGTATGATATGCATCGTTTGTATAATATAATAATTATATGATTGCCATTAATTAAAATAACACATTTTAGAACGATTTACTAGACAATTTTTTGAATAGAAAAGGATATAATCAAATTTTGAAAAATGACTTAAAAAGGGGAAAAAAGAAAAACTAATAACCTTTTAGAACTCATTTGCTAACTTTGAAATTTTTCTTCTAGGAATGCCTGCCTTCATCTTCTTAACATATAGTTTGCTAACTAAAAGCAAACCACAATTCAACCATAACTAAAAACAAACTACAATTCAACGAGTATCTTCCGCTTGTTGAATCGTCGTAATATAATTATTATCTGATAATGATATATTATGCTTATACCTCAAATAGAAGGGAAATGAAATGTCTATGGCTCCTTTTTCAATGTAAAAATCTTCAGTACTGGGCATCAGTCTCATCTTCACATCTAAATAAATTGTTTAAGCACCATATCCACAAAATTCTATGCAGCCTTTAATTTTGAACCTTTTGTTCTAGATAGAAACTTTCAATTACAAAAGTACTTTAAATAAGGAAAATATTCAGTACTGTGGCTTTTTCAAATTAAAAATTACGAAATCTAACTTTCTATATGGCCTTCAATGTATATATTTATGTTCAGTAATAGCTTAAACTCGTTCTAAAAAAATAAAACACAAAATGTTTGACTCTGTACGATAAAAATTAACCAATATATTTAATTTTAAAGTTTGAGATCATGTAAAGGAGTTGTATATAGAATGCAGTGAAAATTGTTGGGAAATTTGTATTCGCCCTTGCGCCTGATCATTACTGAAAAGGAAGAGGAATGCAACACTATTTAATCGGCAGTAGAAGCCAAAGCTACATATCATTTAGCTGTAGCCAGTGGCGTAGATAGGGTGGAGCAAGGGGGGCATCTGTCTCCGGGCGCAGCCTCCAAGGGGCGCCAAATTGATGCTATGAAATGTTTTCCATTCTTGGCACACAGAAAGATGTGCAAATTCTTCAGTTGTCCCCGGGCGATGGAAACTCTATCTATGTCCCTGGCTGTAGCTGTGGTAGTCACCATCGTGGTACGAGTTCGGAAGCATGGAATGCTGACATGGATATAGCTGTTGAAGACACTAGTAGCAGTTCATTCCCTTAGACCAGGGGTCTCCAAACTTTCCAGCCTTAGGGCCATACTGATTACTCCAGTAAGTTCCAAGGGCCAAAACCATATTATCATTGTTGCCGGTGGTAAAAAGTGAAATAGCCACTGATGAAAAAAAAAGTCCGAAAAAGTACGCAACGTTTAAAAAAGGCTGCAACTCGGAATAAGTCCGCAAACGGCAACACTGCATATATTAATTTCCTGTCATTATCTGTAATTCTAGATTAGTCGTATAGTACGAGCCATGAGGAGTAACGTGACACGACATCTGGTGGACAAGCGGAAATAGCTAGTACCTTCTATCGCTAACAGATGGCGCTAATAGCACGTACAAGTCAGTTCCTATGACACTGTTGTGAAATAAAATAGTGCGACCTCCTTAAAACGTGTTTGTGCGTGTTTAAGTTTAAGACATCTTTGTAACAGTATTTTGATTTGAATTATTGCTTTTGTGTGTGATTTAGTAGTATGGAAAAGAAGCGAAAAATTGGTAGTGAATGCAGAAAATTCAAAGATCAGTGGAACATTCAGTATTTCGTAATTGAATCCAGTAACAAGGCGCTATGTTTGATTTGCAATGAAAGCATAGCCGTTCTCAAAGAATATAACTTAAACGTCATTATGAAACAAAACATTTCAAAATTACTCAAAATATACACGGACAGAAAAATTCGAGCTATGAAGCGCGGATTGAAATCTCAGCAATCTCATCTACAAACTCAAAACTGAACAAGAGGCTGCAACTCGTGCCAGCTTTTGTGTGGCTCTTGAAATTGCAAAACGTGGAAAACCATTCACCGATGGAGAAATGATCAAAGAAAGCATAATTGCAGTAGCCGAAGAAATATGCCCTGAAAAGGTAAATTTATGAAAAAACTGTCAGTATGTCATTAAACACTGTGGCTCGAAGAGTAGAAATCATTGCTGAAATATATCCTCTCAACTGTTCGAAAAAATGGACATGTTGAGTGGTTTTTTTCTTTGGCCTTGGGTGAGTCAACGGATGTGTCAGATACTGCTCAGGTGTTGATTTATATTCGAGGAGTAGATAAAAGCTATGAAGTGCATGAAGAACTTCTTGATATGTATAGTATTCATGGCTAACTACTGGTACAGATATTTTTAAAGGAGTTGAAATGGGCATTAATCAAAAGAACCTTCGATGGAAAAACTTGAAATGTATTACAACTGATGGAAGCAAAAACAGAGTGGGAAAGATAAAGGAGTGGTCGCTCTTGTGTCAAAGGCTGTAGAAAATGAGGTGGTTCAAAAACCATTAGTCTTACATTGTATCATTCATCAACAGTCTTTGTGCGGAAAATGTTTGGATATGTCTGAAGTTCTGAAACCAGTCATATCAACTGTTATTTTATCAGATCTTTTGGGCTGAATCACCGACAATTCCGACAATTTATTGAAGAGATTGGAGAAAATGACTTACCTTATCATACTGCGGTACGTTGGCTTAGTTGTGGGAATATCCTTCAGCGCTTTTTTGAACTTCGAGCAGTGATCGAAATTTTTTTGAATGAAAAGCATCGCCCTCTTACTGAATTACA